CCATCACATGGGTGCTAGTAAGCAATAGCCCCGCAACAGCAGCAAGAGTTCTTCACCACTGAGCCATCTCTCCAGCCCGCCTCACCTGATCTTCTGCTTCCATCTCCCTAGGCTGGGATCACATGTAAGTGTGCACCACCACTCTCATTGTGTTCAGGGCTGGGCCCCAACCAGGGCTATATGTGTGGCAGGCAAGCACTCTACCAAATAAACTGCTTTTCTAGCCCTAGCACAATGTTTTTTAAGTGCTGAAAAACAAAACAAAACCAGAATTGCTAACATAGAATCCTATTTCCAGCGAAAGTATTCTCAAGGAATGAAATCAAGATTAAAAAAAAAAAAAGGATCCTAAATGTGTTTATTTTTTTTGTTTGTCTTACTGGCTTGCCCGGAACTCAAGGTGTAGACCTGGTTGGCCTCACTGTGAGCACCAGGTATGTATAGGATACACATACACACATGCAGGCAAAACATCTATCTGTATATATAACATGAAATAATTTTAAATTAAAAAAAAAACAGCAACAAAAAACCTATGCAAGACTAATGAAAGAAACAAAAGACCTAAATAGTAAGTTCACAGCTAGCCTGGGCTAGTGAGGCCCTCAAATAAAAACAGAAACCATAACAGAGCTAGTGAGGTGGCTCAGTGGTTAGATAAAGCATGTGCTCTTCCTGCAGAGGACTCAGTAAGGAGACAGCAGTTTTATTCTAATTGATATACAGATTCAATAAATGTATATCAAAATCTTACTAAGAGCCAGGTGTGGTGGCAAATGATTTTAGTCCCAGCACTTAGGAGGCAGACATAGGTAGATCTTTACGACTTCAAGGCCAGCCTGGACTACACAGCAAGTTCCAAGACAGCCAAAGCTACATAGTGAAACCCTGTTTTTAAAAAAAGGGGAAAAAAAACTTAAAAAGATATTTATTTAAAAAATTTTTTTTGTAATAGCCAGGTGCTGGTGGTGCAAGCCTTAAATCCAATTCCAGCACTGTGGAGGCAGAGGAAAGCAGATCTCTGTGAGTTCAAGGCCAGTTTGGTCTACAAAGAGTTCCAGGACTGCCTGGGCTGCCACAGAGGAACCCTTTCTCATAAAAAATAAAATAAAAAAACAAAACCAACAAAAAAAACCCAACTTTGAAAAAAGTATGCATGGGTATTATTTTATAGGCACTACAAAAGCATTCCAGGCCAGCCAGGGCTACATAGTAAGACCCTGTGTCAACACAAGAAAACAAGCTAGGGAGAGGATTCAGCTGTTAAGAACACTGGCTGCTGCTGGGTGGTGGTGGTGCAAGCCTTTAGTTCTAGCACTCAGGAGGCAGAAGCAGGAGGATCTCTGTGAGTTTGAGGCCAGCCAGGAACATGGACAAAAGACACAAGAAGGCACTGTAACAAATAAGATACCTAGGATAAACAAATAAGTGGAAAAGTTTCACCATTATTATCATTAGAGAACTACATATTAAAACCACAATGAGCTGTCACTGCACATCCATCACAGCATATGTATAACATGTGTGTATGTATAACTATATGTATAACAGCACAGTGGCCAGGAGATGGGGACTGGAAAGTGTCTGCCAACTCTGGAAAGTTGTTTCTCTTCTTTTCCTTCCTTTCTTTTTGTTGTTTGGTTTTTCAAGGCAGGGTTTCTCTGTGTGGCCTTGGCTGTCCTGGAACTAGCTCTGTAGATCAGGCTGGCCTTGAACTCACAGAGATCCACCTGTCTCTGCCTCTGCCTCCTGAGCACAGGGATTAAAGGCATGTGCCACCACACCTGGCTCAGTTTCTTTCTTTTTAAAATAGCATTTCTTCTTTAATTATGTGTATATGTGGTGTCTGTGTGTGGGTATGAGCATGTGAGTCCTGTACTGCCTGTAGAGGCCAGAAGAGGGTGTCTATCATAGAAAGCTGGAGTTAAAGACAATTATAGATTCTGGGAACCAAACTCTAGTCCTCTGAAAGAGCAGTACCACTCTTAAGAGCTAAACCATCTCTTTAGTCCCAAAACAGGACCCAGAAATTGTGATCACCCACTTGTAGGAGTGAATGTGATAAAAGCAAAACAGAGAGTACTGTGTATAAGCCTACAGATACCAACATTCTTTCCCAAGTCAGAAGCCACTGCTCACCTCCAAGGTGCCCATCCCTGGTGTCTTCCAGTCACTTCACATAGTGTACCTGGATCCAAGCAAGCTGACCAGTTTATAAACTGATGGAATGGTGGCATTCCTGGAGGAAGGGGTACCAATAAATACTGAGATTCTGACTATCACATCTTCAGCTCCTAGATACAAAGGTTTGAACAAGTGAGAATAAACGAGCTATCAAAATGTCTTACCTGGCTGGTTGTAGTGGCACACACTTTTAATCCCAGTACTCAGGAGGTTCTGGAGCAATGTCTGGCTCAGCGGCTGGGGCCATGCAAGCTTCAGTATGGTCAGTATGGTCAGAGAGAGAGTTCTACTCATCAGATTGGTTCTACAGCATGGTTCTGGGAACTGTCCTTGGCCACATAACTCCATGTCTGGTTTTTCTGGCCAGAAAGCCTTTGTTTGTTTGTTTGTTTGTTTGTTTGTTTTTTCAAGACAGGGTTTCTCTGTGTAGCCCTGGCTGTCCTGGAACTCGCTCTGTAGACCAAGCTGGCCTCAAACTCACAGAGATCCGCCTGCCTCTGCCTCCCAAGTGCTGGGACTAAAGGCGTGTGCCACCAATGCCCAAACCAGAAAGTCTTTGAAAGCCAATGTTGTTTTGTTTTGGAGGTTCGGGACAGAATCTTGTTATGTAGTTCAGGCTGGCCTCAAACTCATTATGTAGCCCAAACCAACCTCAACTTGGTGACCTTCCTGCCTCAGTCTCTTCACAGTTGCTGGGGTTACAGGTATGAATCATCACATGCACACAAGACATGGTATTGCTGTTTTGCCCAGGCTGGTGTGGAACTTCCATCTCAGGCTACAGAATAACTAAGGCTACAGGCACATGCCACATTGCCTGGCTCTAGCCAATATTTTTTTTTTAAACCAAGTGCTGGGGTTAAAGATGTGTGCCACTGCACTAACCTAGGTGGTGTCTTTTTCCTGTGGCTTATGTCTGAAAAGCGATAGCAATGCAGTTGAAAACCCTCCATCCTCATCATCACAGCTTCCATCTATGCTATCCTCTGCCTCAGCTCTTGATACTCCCTTAGTTGTTCCGTGCAGCAAATGAAGTAAGTGGCAAGTCTACGAATTAGCTGTATTTAGCTTGTGTCTACCCTTTGTCCAGTCATCAGCAGGGAGAGGCACGGTCATGTTCATGATGCCCCTTCTGAGTAGCTACCTCACATCTGTTGGGCAGTGGTCCAACAGACATAATGGCTGACTTCCTGCAACAGACGACTAACCCAGCCTTGTAAAATCAGAAGTCTCCAGAGGAATGAATTCTGAGCTGGAACATGCCAGATATGTAAGAGTTAGGAAGAAAGTAATGAGTGAAAGCTCAAGCACAGGAAAGAATGATCAGGAGAGGGGAAAGCTCTGAATAAGGGCTAAGGAAGTAGGCATGCAAAACTCAGACTCTGCAAGGCCCTGAAGGCAGTGTTAGGTACCTCAGATTGCCTCCTGAGAGCCTTCATCAGCCAGTGTGAGTTCAAGTAGTTGACAGATTAGCACACTTGCAGGTCTCCCATGGAAAACAGAAGGGAAGTTAGAAATTTCAGAAATCAACCAGAAGACTACTGCAGGAAAGGGGACGATAGTGCCAGTTGGGGGTGGAAGAAGCCAGAGTTAAATGAGCAAGTCTTGATAACAGAATCCGAAGAAGGCAGTGGTATTGGGAGTGTTTAGCATGACAGGGGACATGAGTAGTTGTGGACAACAGAGGAGGAGTGCTATTTTTCTATGGGTTTGTTTGTTTTGAGATAAAGTCTCAGTATACATCCTGGACTGGCCCTGAACTCATGATCTTTTTGGTTTTGCTTGACAAGAACTAGCAGTATAGACAGCCGTGCACCTCCATGGCTAACAAATGAAGCTATTTAGAGAATGAAGTCGATTTCTGATATTATTGGAGTTTTGGTTTTAGTTGGTTTGTTGTTGTTTTAATGAGAAGCTGGCTTCAAACTCATGACCTTCCTATTTGATCCTCTCAAATAAGTACACTGTTGCTGTACTTGTCCAACTCATAAAAAGAGAGTCCAAGAGACAATCAGACATAAGTATCTAGACCTCATGAAAAAGAGTCTAGACCAGAGATTAAAAACTTGGGTCTGGGGGCTGGAGAGATAGCTCAGAAGAGCACTGACTGCTCCTCCAGGGGACCCAGGTTCAATTCCCAGCACCCACATGCCAGGTCACAATTGTCCAGTTCCAGGGGACCAGACACCCATGGCAAAACACCAATGCACATAAAATAAAAAGTAATAAAAAACAAAACAAAAATTGTAAAAAAACAAACAAACTTGAGTGTGGGGCAGAGGTGGTGATTAAAGCTGCAACAAAGTGTGTCCCAGGCACTTGTGGAGTCCATGTTAAGAAAGCCCAAGAATACTCCGGAAACAGGTTTACTACTTCAGAAAAGTAGAGGAAGAGGGAGCCACAGAGGAGTCTGAGAAGGACCAGCCACATGAGCAAAAGGAAAACCAAGAGTCACTTGTGGTCCCCAGGAGGGAGTAGCCTTGGGTATGGAAGCTGCAGAAACAGTGCAGAGAGTACCAGCCGAGTGTCCAGTTGACACAGAACAGAGGGTGCCACAGACCCAGGCTGGGGAGGGGATCAGTTCAGGGCTAGCAAAGGTGACAGTGGGGTAAAAGGAAGCAGAGAAGGAAAATTAGGCATCTCTAAGAATCGCTATGGAGGAGAAAGGGTAGCATGTGGTGGTTGGGGAGTCTCTAGATCTCCCAGGGTGGAAGGAAAGGGAGAGTGGAAAACCAAAGGAGGGCTCTGGGAAAAGCTGTGGAGAGAGGTGATAAGGGCCTATGCCCAGGAGGGAGGGAGACTGTTTCCTGGGTTGTCATTTCCTCCCCATTTCTATCTCCTTCCTGCTCTTGGCCTGGATCTCCTTGGAGCTGGAAGAGAGAAGGACCAAGTCATACCCTGGAAGAAGCTCGGTGCCTTCAGAGGTCTTTCTGCCTGACTGTAAGCTGGGGCTGGGACCAGAGAGGGAAGATCTGAGGAGGGAATAAGAACTAAGGACAGGGGCAGAAGAGAAGGGAAAAGTCTGGGAGGTATTAAAGCTATTTGTGGAAGAGATCCTGAGAGCTACTGCAGTGGAGGACTAGTGGAGCCTAGGAAAATTATGCAAAGGCCAGGGTGGCATCTCTTTAAACTCCCATTGTCCACAGGTTCATATGGCTCTCCTCATCTTCCTGTTCCTGCTGCCAAGTTCCTTACATTCCCAGCCCACTTGTGACATCTCCAAAGTGACCAGCTTGCTGGAAGTAAACTGTGAGAACCAGAAGCTGACGGCATTGCCTGCAGACCTGCCAGAAGACACAGGCATTCTCCACCTGGGCAAGAACAAACTAGGTAACTTCTCCACAGCATCTGTGGTGCATTTCACTAAACTCACTCAGCTGTACTTGGATGAATGCGAGCTGACTAGCCTGCAGACCCCTGAGAAACTGCTGAAGCTGGATACCCTGGATTTATCCCGCAATAAACTGCAAAGTCTGCCCTCCCTAGGATTGGCATTGCCTGCACTCACTACCCTTGACATCTCCTTCAACCAGTTGGGCTCACTGTCTCCTGCTGTCCTGGAAGGCCTAAGCCAACTTCAGGAGCTCTACTTGCAGAACAACCATCTGAGGAGCCTGCCCTCTGGGCTCTTGATGTCTGTAACCAATCTGAAGAAACTCAGTTTAGCCAACAACAAACTGCGTGAGCTGCCTCCTGGGCTCCTAGATGGGCTGGAAGAGCTTAATACCCTCTACCTTCAAGGGAATTGGCTTCGTACAATACCAAAGGGCTTCTTTGGGAACCTCCTCTTGCCTTTTGTTTTTCTCCATGCCAACACCTGGTATTGTGATTGTGAAATTCTCTACCTCCGTCACTGGCTCCAGCAAAATCCCAACAATGTCTACTTATGGAAGGCAAATGTGGATGTCAGGGCCATGACCCCTAATGTGGCCAGTGTACGATGTGCCAATCTGGGAAATGCACCTGTCTACTCCTACCCAGGGAAGGACTGCCCTAGTAATGGTGATAGCGATACCATGGACTATGATGACTATGATAATTTCTCTGATGTACCTGCTACAAGGACTGTGGTTAAGTTCTCTACTAACACTGAAGCCCATACTACCCACTGGGGCCTGCTTGTAGAGTCTCCTACTTCTCCAAACAGCCAAATGCCTTCTTGGTTTTCAACCCACAAACTTACTGAGAGACCGTCCACACCCACCCACATACAGATCCCAAAACAGACCATGGAATCCAAAACACCCCTTTATAGTTTAAAACTCAATACTCTATCCACCACCATCCCAACCACCCTAGGACCTACCTTTACCCTGACTATCTCAGAGGCCAGCCCTACCACCCCAGTGCCTACCACTTCCACCCTGGTGACCCCAGAGCCCAGCAGCAACCCAGTCCCTAGTACTGCTATCCTGACTACCCAAGAGCCCAGCACCACACCAATGCCTACCACCTCCACCCCGACTACCCCAGAGCCCAGCACACCAATGCCTACCACCTCCACCCCGACTACCCCAGAGCCCAGCACCACACCAATGCCTACCACCTCCACAATATCTACCCTAGATTCCACCAGCACTACCCCAACCATTCCAGTGTCTACTATCTCCCCAGTGTTCACTACCATCCTCACCACCCCGGCATCTACCCCAACTAAGACCACTTTAGAACTATTTTTCACCACAGAACTCACTTTATTCCCTATCTTAGAATCCACCACAAGGATCCCAGAGTTGAACAGCTTCCTAACTTTCCAAGCGATTGCTCAAGCAAATTCTGATACTTCCAAAAGTGACCCTTTTCTCAATTCTGACTTTTGCTGCCTCCTCCCCCTGGGCTTCTATATTTTGGGTCTCCTCTGGCTCCTATTTGCCTCTGTGATACTCATTTTGTTGCTGACCTGGATCTGGCATGTAGAACCACATGCTCTGGACTTCAGCCAATCTGCTGCATTGGCCACAAGCACACATACCACAAGTCTGGAGGTGCAGAGGGCAAGGCAAGTAACTGTGCCCCGGGCCTGGCTGCTCTTCCTTCAGGCCTCATTCCCTACTTTCCGTTCTAGCCTTTTCCTATGGGTAAGGCCTAATGGGCGTGTTGGGCCACTGGTAGCAGGACGGCGGCCCTCAGCTCTGAGTCAGGGTCGTGGTCAGGACCTACTGGGAACAGTGGGTACTAGGTACTCAGGCCACAGTCTGTGAAGGTGGGTACTTTGGAGATACTGAGAAAGACTCCAGTGAATTCTAAAGGGACCTAGCTGGGGTGGGGGCCGAAACAGCCACAGGGATATTCTATTTAATTCTCCTTCATGTGAAGGCCCCACTTTACATTCAGACCTCAAATCAAGACAGGCAGTGAGGTAGTCACAGAACCAAGCTCCCTATGTTTCTTAGAGCATTGCCAGGCCACATAGTCAGTGCTACCATTTTAGGGAAGAGGTAGAAAAAACAAATAGAAATGGAGCATGGCTCCCATATGTTCATACATGGAAGAAAACTCGGGAAGTCATTTATCAGGACAGCAGCACTACCCCTAAGCATCATGAATAGATTTTCCCTGTTTAACATTTTCTTGTTCTTCACCAGCGCTATCTGTATAATAAAAAAAAATTTTTTTTTTTTAAAAAAGAAAATGTAGCTTTCTTTGGGGGATGAGAATGGCTGACGCACCTCTTACAAGAATTCCCAAGGTCCTAATTGACCACACCCTGGTTCAAAATACCCAAGAAGCCTCCAGTTGTAGCTGAGGGTGGGTGGGTTGGACCAGGGATCTTTCCTGTACCTTTGCATTCTTCTGCAGGGTTTGAGTACCCCAGGCCACCTTAAACATCAACTTCAGACTAGAACAATGTTCTAGAACTGACAGGCAGTGCTAAAGTCTGCCTGCCTCAGCTAGGTAGCAGAGGTGGGTACATTCCTCACCACCACAGCCTCCAGAATACAATTCTCCTCACTGGCCAGGTCAGGACTGGGAAAGGGTGTGTCATCCTGGTGTCTTAGGTAGGTCTGCTGTTTTCAAAGCTGGATGTAACGGGGCCCTTCTCTCCAAATCCACTGATTCTGCCATTTGCTAATCTCACCGGCAAGGCCTTCGTCCCTGCCTCATGTCAGTTCAATCCAGGGCTTGGGCCCAGATAAGGGAAGAAGGGCTGCATCTTTATGGCTCTACAGATCACTCTTCTCCAGATGGCTCTAGATCTTCCTGTGAATCTGACTGAATCTCCTTCCTGCCTTAAACTCTTCCAGGTAGAGGACACACCTTAGAAGTTAGCCAGTAAGGACTTTTCTTCATAGACTCCACAAGCCAGTCCAGCTTCATCTCCATGTCACTGCACATCTCATGGGTCCCCTGTGCCAGCAAGGTTCCTCCTCTGAGCCTCTGTCCTCACTTCAGCTCAGAGCTCTGCTCTCCTCATTCTGACAGGTACCACAAACAAGTCTGGGCAGGGTGCAATCCACTGCTACAGACATTTCCATGTTCCTGTCATCTTTTTTAGTTTGTTTTTTTTTTGAGACAGGTTTCTGTGCGTGTAGCTTAGCTTTTTGGCTGTCCTGGAACTCACTCTGTAGACCAGGCTGGCCTGGAACTCACAGAGATCCACCTGCCTCTGCCTCCCAAGTGCTGGGATTAAACACATGCCACCACTGCCCAGCCTCCTGTCATCTTCATGCTGGACTTTCAACTCCTTAAGAAAAGGTGCAGGCTTCAAATGTCTCCACATAGCTACATGTGGCCAGGACACAATGTGCATGAAGCATTAAGGAAAGGAGCAGCAGGACAGCAGGGATGCACTACCATCTTTTTGTGTTCAGTCTGCCAAGGGGACAGCTCACACCTGCTGTCTGCCTGTTTTCTGGTCTGGCATGCAGCCCTCAGGCTGCCTAGCACTCCACCCAGTTTGACCTTCCCGTATCTTTTATGGTCCAAGGAGTTTGTAGGATCCTTGAGGGCCTTGGAATCATACTTAAGAAATGGATTGGATTTAAAAAAAAAAAAAAAAAAAAAAAAAAAAAGTCACTTTTCCCAGCCAGCCCAGTTTCTGACCAATATTCTTTTTTTGCTCAATCCTTGGGTTTGACTCCACTGTGTACCGAGAGCTCTGAACTGCTCTTTCTACCCCTGTGGCTCCAACCAACAGAAGTCCAACTTAGATTCTTTTTTTTTTTTTTTTCCTCAAGACAGGGTTTGTCTGTATAGACCTGGCTGTCCTGAAACTCACTTTGTAGACTGGGATGGCCTTGAACTCAGAAATCTGTCTTTCTCTGCCTCCTGGGTGCTGAGATTAAAGGGAGGGCCACCACACCCTACTTGCTTCAATTTAGACTCATTACCTCCTCCCTGTGCTGCAAAGGCAATCATGAGATCCCAGAGGCCCTTTCTGAGAACTGATAGGATTTGTGAGCAGTGCACAAGGCCCAGATTTCTTTGTATCAGATGCTGAGGTAGGACTTATTTACATAGCATTTTCATAAAACCAGTAGGTGATTTTCTTTAATGTTTTTTGGTTAAAAACTCCAGTTTGTTTTCCAGAGACATCAGCTTCTTTGTGGAGTTAGCTCCCACTAGGATCCTCAAGACTATCCAGATTTGGGGTTGGTGTATCAATCCAATTTATTAATTATGTCCTCGGGGAAGAAGAAGCCACAGCCTTCCACCACAGACCCTTCTGGCCATCTGGATAGCTTCTGCTCTCGCCTGTCTCCTCAGCTCTGTCTTGGTTTCTCCAGAGAGAGAGAGGTCTGTCTGTCTTGTGTGCCCTGAAACTAACACCCAAGAGGTGACTAGAAATCCTCAGGGAAATTTCTCAAGTCCTCCTAGGAATAGCCAAGGACAGAATGATCCTAAGCATCAGGCCAGGCATGGCAAGCTTGAGCAGGGGTAGAACAGGTTAAAGTTCTTTACCGCAAAGGATTAAACCACACTGTAGAGGGAAAATAAATAGAGGAGTCCAGAGTAGTAGAATCCAGGAGCCCAGGGCACATCACTATAGGAACAGTGGGTGACATGGGGGCCCTGGTTCTCTAGTCCCAGGACCTTGCCACATCAGCCACTGAGGAAGAGACGCTTGTAGGCCTTGTTCATCTGTTCCAAGAAGATGAAGGTGAGGACAGTGTGGGGACCCAGTCGGGCATAGTATGGTGTGAAGCCCTTCCACAGGCTGAAGAAACCCTCATAGCGGACGACTTTCATCAGCACATCCTAGACAGACAGGCAGGTAAGCGCTGGGCTAGGTTTGGCCTCTAGGACTCTGTCCCCTAGGCCCACCTCCCTTCATGCCCCTCCTAGGGTACCCAACACACTCTGACCCAAGCTTGCCCTCCCTGCCTCCTCACCAGCCCATTCTTGTACTCTGGCTTCCCGTCGATCATGCGCATATTTTGGATCCTGAAAGAGAGGAGGTATGTGAATGCAAGGCGGAAGGAAGGCCCTCCTAAAGCTCTCCAGTCCCAGGCTACAGGCTCACCTAGTTTTGACGATGTCCACAGGCATGGAAGCAGCAGTGGTGACGAGGCCACTGATCATGCTGGCACAGAAGTGGCATAGAATATTGTCAGAGAAGTAGCCTGGGAGGTGAAGCAGAAGGTGGTAGTCAGTCCTCAGGCAGCTCAGACCAGACTGGGCATTGAGTATTCTGCTCTGGGTCTCTTACCTGAGTCTAGCAAGAACTGCTTGGATTGGGAGTAGGAGGCAAGCTGGGCAGCATTGACGACAACAGCTCGAGCCATGGTAGGGATGCAGCCCTAGAGAGTGGAGGTAATGGAGAGGGAGTCAAAAATGCCAGACACTTGACCCCACATCCCAAGACTCTGCCCCTTTTGCTCACCCGCCACAGTGTGGGGACTCCCTCTTCCCTGGCAATTCGAATTAGGGCATTAAACACGTTTTTGTAGCCACGGCGCTGGTCAGCTGGAAGCCTGGGGAAAGGGCAGGGAAAAGCCAAGATCAGGACCGCTCGCTCGGGGTCCACAGGAACAAAGAAAGGGAGGCGTGAGCAGGTAAGTGCCCTGCTGTAGATCTTGGCTAACAAAAACATGTAAAACCTAGTCCTTTCATTCTAGATTACAGGAACGGGGCTGGAGTTAGGCTCAGACCTGTAACTCACCGGCCATCAGCAGTCATCCTGATAAGAGCCACCTCAGCAGGCGTTCCCACAAATGCGCCAGTTGCACCTGCAGTCATGCCAATCAGGGCTTTCAGCAGAAAGCCAGGGGGTGTACCATCAGCCCCAGTCAGGCGCTCAAACAACACAGTGTAGATGCCAAGACGAGTGGTGGTGTAGGTGGCCTGGCGCAGTAGGCCAGCTGACAGCCCAGTATAAATGCCCTTCAGCCCTTCTGCCTTCAGGATGCTGGTGAGGGCATGGAAGCTGGTTTTGTACTCTCGAGTCTTGGCCCCTTCACCACTCAACTGCATCCGGTTCTTCACCAAGTCCAGAGGCTGCACAAACACTGTAGCGCCCATCCTGAAGTAAGGCAGGAAAAGGAATCAGAGCTCAGCTGTTCCAGCTCGATTAGTGTCCACTGCAACCTGGCAGCAAGGTTACAAAGGTTGGGACCTGACATGCAGCTAAGGAAGGATTCAGGAGGCTGGTGAGCACCTATGTGTGTGTGCACGAAGGTCAATGTGCCAGAAAAAAAAAAAAAGTTCACTTGCCAAGTAAAAACCATGCAAATCGAAATACTTCTGCCAGTTAGCTCCTTAGAGTCCAAGTAGTATTAGACTACAGGCAGTCTGACTAAGGAGGGGTGGGAAGGGCATTCATAACCTAGGACTCCAAGCAGACCTCCAACAAAGCGTTTAAATACCTAGATCCACCACACAAACAGGCACAGTTAAGCAATGGTGGTGGAAACACGGGACTCTTGAACGAAGCCAGCCCGTAAGGGGCCTTGCAATGGGTGACTAATTCTGGCAGCCCATCAGGGACCTCGCAATAGTCTGGACATTATGGTGACCCTGCACCAGCTCAATTTACTGCAACATACCCCGAAATGCACTGGGCCCAGTTACTTGCGCCCGTCCCTTCCTCCTTTACCCAACCCTGGGGCCTGAGCTTACCCAGCCAGGCCCCCAAACAGGAACTTGACCGACTTAGGGGAGGTACGGGGCTTCCCGTCCATCCGGCCAGCCCTGGGACTCGCCGTCGCCGCCATCGCCCCTTGATGGCCCTCGGCTTTGGGTCCCGTGCACGTACAACCCCGCTCGCGCCCAAGGTGACACCAGCGTGCAACAGAGCGAGGGCGCGCGCGCGCGCACGCCCCTCCGATAGGCAAGTCTGGCTTGAGCTAAAGCTGGAAGGGGGGGCGCGCAGGCGCGTAGCGCAAAGGCGGCCGGGAATGAGGCGGGGCTAGGTTGCGTGAATGAAGAGGCGGGGCTGATTTAGGAAGCCTCTCTGTAGCCCCCGCCCTTCCAGAATTGGAATCGCGGGAAACTAGTGTTTGAAAATCTCGCGAGAACGAGTGAGGCGGTCGAGTCAGGGCCAGCAATCCTCTCGCGATAAACTTCAGCTTAGAGATGGGGTGGTAGTGGTAAGCACTCTCGCGATACTTGAGGTACCGCAGCGACCAGACGGAGGAGAGGTTTGTAAACAGGGCAGCTCCAAGATCTCGGACGCCGAGAG